GCACTTGAAACTATGCCTTCACAAAGAGGCAACAGAACTCACAGAAACACAATAAAACATATATGTTACAAAAAATATGCAACATGGAAATAGTTATAAAAATACTCACCAGCGCTTTGTTTCCTGATCCTTTTTCTTATAGTTGTCTAGTTTCTTCATTCCTTTAACGTTTTGTTGCTTCAGTGTTTCCTCAGTTTCCCAGGTATTATGGATGTGTGACCAGCCTTTCCATTTAATAAGATACTGTACTTCTCCTAGCTCCTTTGACTTTTCAAACCCAGTATTTGGGTCACCATCTGCCTCAACTGCATAGATGGTGGTTGCAGCACCAGTGGCTGATAAAGAAATCACACCATAAGGCCTAATTAAGCATGCGCTGCCATAAATTAACCAGTAAAAAACACAATGCAGAAAGCAATTTGTGATGCTCTTATATGAGCATGTAACTTGACTAATTAAATCTACAACTCTTATGTAACTCTTCTTATTTGAAGAATTATGATGCAGCTATATTAACACACTCACAAATATACCAATGAGATTCAAAAAAGCAACCAAAAAACTCTGCATCTAACCTATAGTATCTCATCTCATGAGAATTTTCTTAGTATTCCTAGTTTTTCCAGTCATCCCCAGAGAATGCTCCACTGACACTGCTTGCTGTCATCTTTGCTATATTCTTCTCAGAATATAACAGATATTTGACATTGTGCTTAATCAGCCTTGAGACTTGAACAGCCTACTATTAAATTATTATTATGGATGCTATAAATCCAATTCACAGAATTGAAGAATGGTTGAGGTTGGACAGGACCCTCTGGAGGTCATCTGGTCCAACCTCTATGCTCAAACAAGGTCACCTAGAGCCAGTTGCACAGGTCCACGTCCAGATGTCTTCTGAATATCTCTAAGGAGGGAAACTCAACCACCTCTCTGGACAACCTGTTCCAGTGCTCAGTCACCCTCATGGTGAAAAAAGTCTTTCCTGATGTTCAGATGGAACCTCCCATGTTTCAGTTCATGCCCATTGCCTCTTGTCCCGTCACTGGGCACCAATGGAAAGAGCCTGGCTCTATCCTCTTTGCACCCTTCCTTCAGGTCCTCTCTGAGCCTTCTCTTCTCCATCCCAGCAATCTCAGCTTTTACTCATAGGAAAGATGCTCCACTCCCTTCATCATCTTCATGGCCCTTCATTGGGCTCTCTCCAGTAGTGCCATCACTCTCCTGTACTGGGGAGCCCAATCCTGGGCACAATACTCCAGAGATACGTTCTCACCAGCGCTGAGCAGAGGGGAATGATCACTTCCTTCAACCTGCTGGCAATACTTTGCCTAATACAGCCCAAGATACCATTAGCCTTCTTTACAGCAAGGACACATTGCTGGCTCGTGTTCAACTTGGGGAAGAGGACCTCTAGGGCCTCTTCTGCAAAGCTGCTTTCCAACTGGGCAGCCCCCCAGCATGGAGTTGTTCTCCTCAGGTGCAGGACTTGGCACTTCCCTTTATTGAATTACATGAGGTTCCTATCAGCCCATTTCCCCAGCCTGTCAAGGTCCCTCTGGATGGCAGCATCACCCTCTGGCCTATCAGCCGCTCCTCCCAGTTTTGTGTCATCTGCAAACATGCTGAGGGTACACACTGTCCTATTATCCAGATCATTAATGAAGACATTGAATGGGTATGGATCCAGTATTGAGCCGTGGGGTACACTGCTAGTTACTAGTCTCCAACTAGACTTTGTGCCACTGATCACCACCCTCTGGGCCTGGCCATTCAGCCAGTTTTCAATCTACCTCACTGTCTGCTCATCCAGCCCATACATCAACAGCTTCTCCACAAGGATCTTATGGGACAGTGTCAAAGGCCTTCCTTAAATCCAGGTAGGCTATATCCACTGCTCTCCCCTCATCTAAAGAGCCAGACACTTCATCACAGAAGGTTATCAAGTTGGTCAAGCATGACTTCCCCTTGGTGAAGGCATGCTGACTACTCCCGATCACCTTCTTGGCTTTCATGTACCTGGAAATAGTTTCCAGGATTAGCTGTTGCATTATCTTCCCAGGGATCAAGGTGAGGCTGATCAGTCTGTAGTTCCCTGGGCTCTACTTCTTGCAGATAAGAGTGACATGCAAACTGGTAACAACAGACAAGGAGAAGGCTGAGGTATTCAACAATTTTTTGCCTCAGTCTTCACTGACAGCCTCTCTTCCCACACATCTCAAGCAGATGGACTTCAAAGCAGGGACTGGGGGACCAAAGTCCCTCCCATCATAGCAGAAAATCAGATCCCTCCCACTGTAAGTGTTATTCCCATAACATCCTTCTCTCTAAGTTGGAGAGATACAGATTTGATGGGTGGACTGTTTGGTGGATAAGGAATTGGTTGGGCTGCATCAAAAGAAACATGGTCAGCAGATCGAGAGGTGATTCTGCCCCTCTACTCTACTCCGGTGAGACCTCACCTGGAGTACTGCATCCAGCTCTGGAGTCCTCAGTACAAAACAGACATGGACCTGCTGCAGCAGGTCCAGAGTAGGGCCACAAAAATGATCTGAGGGCTAGAACACCTGTCCTATGAGGAAAAGCTGAGAGAATTGGGGTTGTTCAGCCTAGATAAGAGAAGGCTCCAGAGAGACCTTATTGCAGCCTTTCAATACTTAAAGGAGGCTTATAAGAAAGATGGGGGCAGGCTTTTTAGTAGGGGCTGTAGCAACAGAATAAGGGATAATGTTTTTAAACTAAAAGAAGGTAGATCCAGAGCAGATGTAAGGAAGAAATATTTTTACAATGAGGGTGTTGAAACACTGGAACAGGTTGCCCAGAGAAGTTGTAGATGCCCCATCCCTGGAAACATTCAAGGTCAGGTTGGATGGGGCTTTAAGCATCTAGTTGAAGATGTCTCTGCTCATTGCAGAGGGTTGGACTAGATGATCTTTAAAGGTCCCTTCCAACCCAAACAATTCTATGATTCTATGACATTTACTTTCCTCCAGTCCTCAGGCACCTCTCCTAGTTGCCATGATCAATCAAAGACTATTGCGAATGGCCTTGTAATGACATCTGCCAGCTCCCTCAGCACCCCTGGGTGCATCCCATCAGGGCTCATGGACTTACGTATGTCTAGTTTGCTTAAGTATTCCCTGACCTGATCCTCTTCCACCAAGGTTACATCTTCCTTGCTCCAGACCTTCCCCCAGTCTCTGGGGCTAGGAATACCTGAAGGCCAGTCTTGCTAGTAAAGACTGAGGTGAAGAAAGCATTTGATATCTCAGCCTTTTCCATGTCCTGTGTTACCAGGACCCTGCTCCATTCAGCAGCATGCCCACATTTTTCCATCTTCCTTTTGGCACCTATATACTTATAGAGGCCCTTCTTTTTGCCTTTGACAACTCTCACCAGATTCAATTCCAACTGGGCTTTGGCTTTCCTATCTGCATCTCTATATTTCTCCCAGGTTACTGGTCCCTGCTTCCACCTTCCATATACCTCCATTTTGTTTTTCAGTTTTGCCAAGAGCTCCTTTTTTATTCATGCAGGCCTACTGACATTTTTGCCTGACTTCCTGCTCATTGGCATGGGCTGCTCTTGAACTATTTCTTCCTAAACTCCTTTTACTACCTCCCCCCTTTCCCTCTCCCCATCTTCGGAATCTTATGTGGGGTAATGTTTAATTGAATACAGTCAGTATTACAGCTGAAGCACACTAGCAGCAGGAAACAGGCTCATTTCTGTGAGGAGAGCCAAATAAGGAAGTGGACCCAACCAGATGCAGAGGACAGGTATAGCAACAGAGTGTGGCAATAGCAAAGGACAGCACAAGCAGTAACAACATCTAGGCATGCAGAATACAACAAGCCTAGTCCAAAAGGCTTTTAACACAGCAGTGACACTGTGCATTGGAGTAAGGGACTAGAATAAGAATACACTGGAATTTAGGACATTATGGGAAACCGTTAATGGTTGGACTTGATGATCTTAAAGGTCTTTTCCAACCTAAAAGATACTATGATTGTATGATTCTAAGAAAGTTGAGAGGAAAGGGAGTGCGAGCTCTGAGATAGGTCAGAAACTAGAGATCAGGTATAACTAATGGAGAAAGGCAGTTCTGAAGTGTGAGTAGGCCCAAGTTTTCTTATAATCAGAACCCTAATTCGCAGGCTAAAAAAAACCCCACATAAGCAGGGCACTGCATCCCATCAGCTACTGGAAATATGACACCCCTACCATCATTCATAAAATTACTTTTAGTACATGCAAGCACACCACCGAAATCTTAGATTCCACCATCCATTGCACTGTACTGTGACTATTTGTACAGGAATAACTGAAATCACAATCTCAGTGGTTCAGCCTTCCCAACATCATCCTTCAACATTCAGGTTACTGGTTAGCGCTCCTATCCAGTCCACTTTTTCTCCACTCCCCTGTATACAGTTTATACCTATCAGGTATCAATAAACTGTACTAATAGTGATGTAACAGTATGGTATACATTTATACAATATGGAGCTATATTCCACTTCATTTTTTTCTTTTCGCATTAGTTAGTTACTGAAGTTCTTCTATGCTTTACTTTATAAGGCTTACAAACGAAACATCCTTATGTGTATGAATAGCAAAATAAGATTACTTTCTGGTATTTTTAAACTTATTCTTTACAAACATCACAGCTGAAAACAACTGTTGTTTATTTTGCACCACAATGCACTGCAACCTCTTAAGAACACTGACAAAAAAATACCTCCTTTTCGGCCAATTCGACTATCCATAAACTTCTCTATAGTTTCAAATTCATCTTCTTCAGGCTGTGGGACATCTTCTCCACAAACTTCCAACAAGTCATCAGAATCTGTCTTGGTTTCTTCAGCTTCTTTGTAACTAACATTGACTGTTGCCTGGCGACGACCTCCTCTCTTGTCATAGTCATCATCTGATGAATCAAGCTGCCTCTTTTTCTGTCCTGCAATCTTTTTGCTGCTTTTTGGCTCAATTCTTGAAGACAATAAGATACAACACAGCAGTGGAGTTTCAACACAGACAACTACAAGCCTTCTGTATTTGTTTCTGAATACATATATTTCATGACTGCTCAGTCACACCATTTTCAGTTGGTGCAGACAGGAAAGAGGTATTCAACACAAACCACTGGTATGATAACATCTTTTGTAGCTTAAAAAAAATCTTCAAGTTCTGTAATAAATATTAATGTTTTCATTTGCCTGTATAGTAGTACAATAGTTGATTACAAATTAGAAATAGTACCAGAGTATCTAAAATGCAAGACTTCTTACCTGCTTGGAGGTTTCCGGCTTTTGACCTTGTTTTTTGGCTCATAGTCAGATTCACTATCTTCACAACTGCTTTTCTCTCTGTCTTCCACTGATTCAGAATCAGAACCAGTTCCTGATATTGACCCTGACCCAGACATCTGCCAGTCTTCACTGTACATATTGAGATAAAACAGTAACTCACATTAGGTTTTGGAGGGTTTTTTTATTTATTTTGTTTTTAAATAGGGTATTCACTACAGGTTTGCTGCTTTGATTTCAACATTCTTCACAGAAATAAAAATGTTATAATAGACATTATAAACAGAAACTTATAATGAATGGATAACAGGTAAAAATACCCAATGGCTTCAAAGGGAGTTGATCTGTTAACAAGAGGTCAGATGTAAAAAACAAATCAAACAAAAAATCTGGATTTCTGTATAAATTACAGCTTTAATAATTGAGTTAATTTTACATCAATAAATCTGAAGTCCTTAACAAGACTTTAGCTGGAAAGATACATATTTACTTCAACTCGCCTATGTTCAACTCATAAAACTCCGTAACATTAAATTTTGCAGAATCCAAGATTCTCTAATAGCTGTGTTCCCTGTGCCTCATGAATAATTAGCAACTTCAGCACAGGAACCAAAAATAATGCAGAATCAGATTTGAGAAACACACAGAAAGACTTGAACCATGGCAATCTGAGAGGCACTGGTTCCCAAAAGCCCCCATTGAGCTTCCAAATCAGTGCTTCACACCCATGCAAGATACTATGAGTAAGCAACTTGTGACTCCCAGTGGCAATATTTCTGCGTTCCAGCTTAGCTGAGACCTTCTACTTTGCAAGAGGAAATATGTGCCCACTGATCAACAGTATCTTACCTCAGACTCTGTACAGAGAAATTTAATCTTAATAGCTTGGGGGGTGGGGAGGAAAAGTCTGGCATACATTCTTGAAAGGTTGATAAAACTTTATACTACCATCTATTATCAGGTTTAGGGGTCTTTGACCAAGATGCTCAAACAGTACTAATGACCTTCAAAGGCGGAATATTACTCAAAGACATATTCATTAAATTTCAGATCAGGAAGCCTAAGAATCAGTGCTTTGACACTTCTTTCACTTAAATATGCATTGATCCTAGAAGTTAAATTTTCATTGTGGTCAATACATGTGCGTATCTTGGAAATAGTATAGAATCATCTGTCTCCTTAAAAGATTTTTTTTTCTGCAAACAATAAATTTAAAAACCCCAAACAACAATCCCCTCAAATAAAACAAACAAAAAAAGCCCACCCCAAACCAACTAACTCCCCCATCCTATGCAAATTCACTATCTGTGTTTATTTGGAGATATAGACAATATATAAAACAACATACTCTAGGGTTTGGATGCTGTACTAAGTTATATATAGAGAAATCTGATCTGCATGTCAGGTAACAACTGCAAACATACTTGTTCAAAATAGGTAAAAATCAATATTGAACCATTGGATATATGAAGGTATTTGGATACTAGTTTCTAAACTTAAATATATTTCCTGTAACAGAGTATGTTATTAGGTGTAATCACATTCTTAAGTAACATAAGACTACGAATAACAATTCATCACAAGAGAAGTAGTAGTGAAGCATTTGCCCTCCCTCCCCCACCTATTTCTTGAAGACATTATATTGTCAATCCTGAATATTGAGATGACTCAACTGAAGAAGAGGAGAAAACTATTCAATTTCTATGCATGGTTCATAAAAAACTAAAAAAAGCACAAAAAAACCCAAAAGACAATCCAAACCCAAAAAACCCAAAACAAAACACAAACAAAAACACACACATAGGATACTACCAATGAGAAGGCATAACATTTTTCAAAAACTTTTTGATCTGCAGCTTAAAACCAGCTCAATTT